AGTATAACGGTCAACCACTGAATCCTAACGTTGACTCTAAGATTCGAATCTTTAACCTCATGATGAAAAGTTTGGCAAGTATCTCACTAGATTATCCCACTCGGTGGTTATTTTTCTCCTTGTTTCATAGAAATAATAGAAAACTAGATGGATGAATTTATACTATTTTATTTGGTATGAAAAAAAAATCATACAAAATAGTACATGTTGAATACAAATACTACCCTTAAGTTACTAAAAAGCAAATGGCATGTGGATCTCACCATGGCTTACTTGTTCGTTGGAGAAAACAAAGTATCCTGAATTCCACATAAATTTCTATTTTCAAACCATGCTCAACAGGCACCCTCTAGGAGGGCATAATAATAAATTTATCAGCTCTAATGATCGGTATACTTTCTCCAATTTTCTGCCCGAAATCAGACAGATTAAATTGGTGCGAGGAGGGGATGCAGTTTCCCTCCCCCTTATTTTTTCCTTTATATTTTTCTTTTCTAACCAAACAAAAGGAAAACACCACTTTCCCTTCTTTTTTCTGTCCACCCATTTGAGATACAAAATACAAGAGTTGAAGAGTGTTCCTTTCTTCTCTTGACTTTTTTGGTGTGGATGGAAAATAAAAGGGAAAATGAAGTTTTTATTTTTTGTTTAGTTGGGAAAAAGAAATAAAAAAGGAAAGAAAAGGGAGGGAAAGTGTATCCCCTTCGCCCACCAATTTTTTAATCTGCCCCAATTCGGACTAAAATAATAAAGAATCTTCTCTCTTTCTATTGATTGTTCACATATTCCAACTCTTAATTTAAAGATTCAAAAATTAAACGGGAGTTCCTAGCCTATTCCACCAATTCCATGGTGCAATGGCATGTTAGCAGACAATGGAGGACTGCATAAAAGTTAGAACGAGAAACCAGGGAATGATACAAATAGATAAAGGAAGTTTCCTTATGTAATATAATGTAGTTGAATGCTGAATTACTCTATGGAATTCTCTTGTAGGAAAAAAAAAAAGAAAAAAGAAAAAATTGCTTTGCTGAAGCATCAAACTCTATCATGTCGGAAATCGTACGATACATTTTGTGTGGGGCCAGAAAGTATCAAAGAAAACCCATAGAGTGATACAAATATAAACATAGATGAGCAGAAGCTTGAATTACTGTATGGTATGCAACTGTGCATATAAGTCGAAATTCGGATTCATGCACACACATTGTACAAGCAATTCATTCTTTTTTGTGGGTGACGAAAAACTGTCCCAATCACACGCTCTTTAGGTTCACATTTGCACTGCAAATCTTAGATGTATACAATTTTTGCAACTCACTTCCATCAATTAAACATGGTTCCATGTTTTTATAGTCAGACTTAAATTCAAACTAGCTACTTATGTAAATCAATATGCGTGGATTATAATAAAATAGCACGGCAGGCTGCCATCTCTCTCTCTCTCTATACTTGTCCTACCGTGTTCCACCTCTCACTCTCTTCTATCCTTTTCCTTGTACCCTTACTATTATACCCACTAAACAGCAATTTGCAAACTTATCACCACCCCCGTCTATCACTCCCACTGATTCCTGTATACTTAATCTTAAAAGTGTAACGTAATTGTTCGAATCGTATCAACCTTTTTACGTTCTTTCTTATAAATTCTTATCTGGCCATTTTGAGATCGTTTCTTTTAAATTTGTTTCGCTTATCTAACCATTTGATGAGAATGAGACCAAATATGAGAAGACACCATGTCAAACATATAACTCGACCGTTTTCTCTATGGACAAATTGAGAGTACATGGTTATAAAATTTAATATATAATTGGCCTTTTCTGTTTGGCCTAACCAAATTCAATAAAGTTTGTTTTTGGGTGAAACGGTAATTTACACACAATTCAACTAATTTTTTCTTTAATTTTATCAAAGACCGGTTCTCTGTACCGAGATTTATCGTCCTAAATAAACACATAAACGGCAAAGTATTCCTTTCATACAAACTGAAAATAAGATGTACAAAAACCAATCAACTTTGTTCACGATAGTTGAACGTCAAGAACTATCCCCTCTTACCTCAATTCTCACCGGAAAACCACCTTGCATCTTCGACGCCAAGTACCATATGAACACCGGCTCAACACCTTCCACCGCCGGAACCACCCTATACTGCCGCAAGACTACGGAAGCCACCCTCTTCATTTGCAAGAAAGACATCTCCTTGCCTATACAAATCCTTGGTCCTGCCTGGAACACCGGATACGTATACGGATCCCTCGCCAGGAATATCCACTTTCCGGTCGCCGTGTCTCTTTCCAACCACCGTTCCGGGCGGAACTCAGCCCAGTCTGAGCCCCACAACTTCTCCACCCTTCCCATTGCATAAGGGTGGTAAGTCACCTTCATACCCTTCTTCACAACAGTCCCATCTGGCCAAACGTCATCTTCTGTAGCTTCTTTTGAATCCAAAGGGACTGGTGGGTACAATCTCATGCTTTCACAAAGCGAAGCATGAGTATAAACCATGTCTCTCACCTCATCATAAACTTGCGATTCTGATTCCGATTTTTCTTTGATCTCTTGAAGAATTTCATGTTCGACTTCTGGGTGCTTGTAGACCAACCAGAAGAACCATGTCAAGGCCGCAGATGTAGTGTCGCGACCCGCGAATATAAAGCTGACAACAATATCAGTAACAAACTTTTCATCGGAGTGACCAGAGCTCAAGAATCTTGATAAAAGATCAACAGAATCGAGTGATGATTTTTCTTCAAGCTCTTCTTTCTTTTCTTTGATAATTTCTTTAGCAAATTCACGTATTTGGTCTATCGCGATTCTGAGTTTCTTTTCAGATCCAGACTAAAGAACTTTTTGATTTTCCAGATTAAAGGAAGAAGTGAACTGACTCTTTCACAACAGATTTGAACAGCTTCATCAAAAGCAACTGCGAATTTCGCCTGAGGGAGAGAAGGTAACAAGTAAGCAGGATCGTAGCCGAAAGCAATCTTGCAAACATTGTCAAAAGTAAATCTTTGAAGTATGTCTTGAAAATCAAGAACAGTATTGTTAGCAACAGCGACGGAGAGGATTGGAATAAGACGATCTGAGAGCTCCGTATCAACTACAGTCTCCACAAATCTACGTAAAGATTTCGTGTTGAATTCTTGGCTCGCGATTTGTCGTTGTAATTTCCAGGCCTCGCCGTTGACGTTGAAGATTCCGTCGCCGATCAAGTCCTTGAGAGCCGTTCGAATGTCGTCGCCTTTCTTGTAGATATGGAAATGGGTCTTGAGGATGTGTTGGACATTGGAGGGATTTGCAGTGAAGACTTGGCGCTTACCCAGAGGCTTGTGGAGAAGGAAGGTGGAGGAGGGTGTGCTTGTGACCAAGTCCGATGTCCATTCGATTAGGCGGTGTTTGTTTTCCGAGAAAGTGAAGTAAGAACCGATTAAAGGGTATGATTTGGGGAGCTTGGAGGAATTGGAGGAGGAGGAAGATGAGATTGTGAAGATGGACTTATAGTTTTGATAAATAAGAAGAGTAATGGAAGAAGGCAAAAGAGCAGTGAAGTTGAGAGCTCCTGGTCTAACATGGCTGATGGTTTAGATGATTTATGTTCTTCAAATTGGGAAGAAGATTGGGCTATTTATAGGATAATTTCATTACCTTTTTGGGTTCGGATTACGATTATCACTAATACTACAGTAAATTACACTTTATCGCCTCAAACTATATTCCTTATTTCATTTTACACCTTTAACTATAAAATTTCTTACATTATACCTTAAAGTATTAATTTTATTTCATATCAATATAATAGATAACGACAATTTTTCTTGATTTTTGATTTACATATGTACAATAGAGAGTTGCTTATTAGCAATACATACCACTTATATGTGTATTTATCATCAAAAAATTAGCATTTGTTATTAATTGGAGTGATATGAAATAAAATTGATACTTTAAGATATAATGGAAGAAATTTTATAATTGAAGGTGCAAAATAAAATAAGGGTAATAATTCAAGGGGATAAAAGTATAATTTATTCCTAATAAATACTATTGAAATTTAGACCATAATTTAAGCACTTAATTTATTGTGAATATTAAATTGATATTGTAAATATTAAATTGATAATTGAGTGCATTCAGTGCTAGAACCAGTGACAACCCCAATGATCACAACCATTAAATCTCAACATTAATGTATTATTATTATGAAATTTTAAAAATTGGTTGTTCATGCTTCAACCAATTGAAAATCTTGTAAATTGAACTATCCAATCAGTGACATCATAAAATATTGTATCCTCAAAAACTAAAATTTTATTTCAATGCATTATTTTGATTACTTAGAAAACAAAAACATTTTTACCCATTTTAAAAACAGAATAAACACGAATAAGAAATTTAATATACGAAACATAATGAAATATCTCAAAGTACTAAAATTTCGATTCCATCAATAATTTGATTTGGTCTCTTTAAATACAAAAACATTTCCATCATTTTAAAAACAAAATTTTGATCATTGTGTATTGCGAGTTTCATATTACAATTTGTTTAACTTATATTCAATTTAATTGAACCATAAAACGGCAGATTCGGGTGGGTTTGCATACAAACAATGGCTACATAGTTAGTGTAAAGCATCTACATCGACGAGTCCAAACATCAGGATTACAAAGTTCTGTGTTTTTACCTCTCGATGAAAACAGTGCTTCATAAGATATTTCGGGCATGGGGATCCAAACTCCTGAATCTCGATATGAGATAAATTTTACTAGTTCCAAAAACAAAAGTTGCCACAACCTAAGAAGGATTTACAAGCCAAAAAAAAAATCGCCTTATCCATGTTACAAACAGTGCATTTCCTGATCTCCCAAAAGAGGTAGCAGTCGAAGCGAATCTCCTCAAACAAAAAATTGTGACATGATTTTCCTCAGATTTCGATTCAATCTATCGACAACATTGAGAATACCCATGTGAAAAGAATATATTTTAAGGATTTACTTAAGGAGATACGGCATGTCAGGAGCTACATTAAACAAAATGTATGTATCTTGAACAAAAAAACAAAAGCAAGTTAAATGTAAGAAAGAGACGAGATGTTTCTTACAAAATCACAAGATTCTGGTAGGGAAAAAGAGTACCCGGAAATTACATTTATCTACAAACACTGAAAACAGCATCATCTATCTGCATTTACAAAAGTAGATCGGCTAATTGGAGCCAACCTTGAGAACATTCAATATATTGCACATGAACCCAGCTTATAATGTCACGAAAGGTTCTGCAACGAAATAGTGTCTCAAAGTTAACTTTGCCACCTTGACTATTAAAACCAATCAAAGAGGAAACAAAACCCAACTGCAAAAAATGGGAGGCAAACACCTTTAAGCGTATCCGAATCAGTTTCCTCCAGCACACCATCACTTTCTTTGCAAACCAAGGTAGCACCTTGGCTCAAAATCTTTATTTTGTGACCACAATTAATACCTTTAGCATTCAACCTTGACCGCCTCAGTCTCTCCCCCAGGATATGGACTGATGATGGAGCTGCACTCTCTGTGGTTAGTTCCACCTATATCCAATGTGTATCTGTCAAAGTTCATTATTGAAAGAATCAACAATCGGAGGAACAAGTTGGGAACAGTGTGAAGTTCATGTTTTGGACAACGAAAAAGGAGACAGAAAGCAAAGCATTACTATTTAATAAATCTTAGGAATGCCGATAAAGTAAGGCTATTGCACTAGGGAAATCCAACCACCACAGAATGGTAAAAATTCAGAATGTAAAGCCAATTATGCAGATATAATGCCAGACCCTATAAACCAGTAAACATAAGTATACCTATGTCATTCATTTAACTTGCTAAATTTGTTAAAATTTAAAGCATTTCACAGCAAATTCATGGTTAAAAAAACAAGGAAATTTGGCTGTGATTATCACGTATAGCATTACTAGTTCATTCACGAAATACCTATATTCTGTATGCATCAAAGGCAGATAAAATCTGTATTGGTTCTGCAGAAACTCCACTACTCGATTAAAATAATTAGTGAACGTTAGTTGAAGGGAAGACCGAAGGTGAAGAATGAAAGTCAGGAAGCAAAAATACTAGTACCTATATGTGAATTTCGCGGAGTGCTTACCATGTCACAGCAAGATATGCACCCTTACAAGGCAGAGACACATTTTCTTCTAAACTCAAATTTCCTTAATTCTTGTAGCTGATGAGCTACCTCTTTAATGAATTGTATACCCTCATTTCCATTTTGGAGCGAGTTAAAAGCATGCTCAAGGAAATCACGGTCAGCCTCAACTGCTTCCAACCTATCATGTAGGTCTAAAATTTCATTTTCAATAGCAGTCAGATCAAGTTTGCCAAAATGCTCAAAGGATGTTTGCCGATCAGAATCAAGATAGTTCTTTTCAATGACAAAATGATTGTCCTCAACTGAAGCAACAGAACTATCTTTAGCAGAAGGGTTTCCATTTGATGCAGAAAAAGCTTTTTGCAATGAAACACCGTTCTCTTTCTTCTGATGATTTATTTGGGTCCCCTTGTCGATAGGAAACTCTCCCTGGTTATCTACCGCATCTGTCATCTTTTCTGAATATCCACCATTAGGCATGTCACTAGACTCCCCATTACTAGAAACTTGATGAAGCGATCTCTCTAACTTCTTCAAACATTGAGAAATGTACAGTTTTTCATCCCCAAAGTCTAACAGTGAAGTTTTTCCATTGATAGGTTTATGACTGCCCTCGGATATCTTAGAAGATCTTGAGCCACATGGGATGTTGCCCTTATTATCATTGCAATGTACACCATTAGTCTCAACTGTAACGTTTTCCCTTCTTGAATTGGATGTTTCCTCATGCAGAGTCTCCATCGCTGATTCATGTGAAAAGGTAATCCTATAAAACTCTAACTCTGCTTCCAAATCTTGCATCTCTTTCTCCTTTTCACCAAGGAGATCATTCGCCTTTTCCAGTGCCTCCATATCATACTCTGCCTGCTCCTCCATCATTCGTAGATACTGCAAGGACTCCATGTGAAGTACTGCCTTCTCCTCTTGCAACCTTGTAATCATGGCCATTGCCTGATTTGCAGCAACTGCAGCAGCACTTCTTTCTTCCTCCAATTCCTTGTATAAAGCCCTCATGCATCTCCGGTCATGCTCAACCTGTCGCTGTAACCTATCAACAACACTTTCACCCTTAATCTCACAGACACTGTTTCCATCCACAGATTCACAATCAGAATCATTTCTCTCCGATAAGGTGAACCTCTGAAGCACCTGAATTCCATCAGAGTTGGAAACATCACTTTTCTGCAATCCATCTTGATGACCATATGTTCTGGGACTTGTATTATTCAATAAAGAATCCATATCATTAGGATTTAATGTGTGTGGCAAGAACTTCAGATCTTCACCTTCATCTGCGTCACTGACGGTAAGTTGATCTGCAAGTAAACTTCGTACATTTCTTGTTTTATGATTTATAGCTGACTTGGAAACATCTGTAGTGTGTATATCAGGCATTGATGGAGTAGCATCATTCGAAAAATCTGCTCCAATTTTAGTAGTGGTTGATGGAAGTTCAATGTCACTGGTTCCTGTCACATCTACTGCAGAAAAGCATTTCAGAAGGGACAAATATGTTAAGAGCAATGCTATTGGGACATAATTTGAGGACATAATGAGTTGTCACCAATGATATGATAATGAATTCATTTAATGCTATAATAGGACCCATCATTAAATACATTTCACTATCATATCATTGGTGACAACTCATTGTGTCACTCAATTATGTCTCAATAGAATTAGTGATATGTTAAATGCAATAAACATCAAAACCCATAACACATTATGTTTCCAATGAATGCACACATAAACGCATACATACACGAACACACACCATCCACATACACGTGCACATTTATATATACATACATAGAGACGGACAGAGAGAAAAATTAAATATACCCGTCTGTGGAGATATGCCAAGAGGAAGTTCCACGCCATTGGATGATGGGGTAACATGATATAGTGACACAAGCTCAGATAGAGCAGAAAGCCTGGACATGTGTGAGAGAGGAATATCATGTTTAGATCCCTCCGCTAATACACCAAAGGGAGCTCCTAAGGTATTAGATGAAGGGGGAACATCATCCAACCAAATAAGCTCTGGCAATGCAGAAGAATTAGGATTTGGAATAGGATGTTCCCAGTTAAGTTCTCCCAAACCATGCCCTATAACATTTGACGTCAAAGGATTTACATGATTGGGCTCACTTGCATCAATTGGCACAGACAGATCAAGAAGTGATGGCCCAGAATTGGAAGCTTGATGAGCCTGCTTCACTGGAGCCACATATTCAGTCCTTGCCTCGGACAGACTTCCCGGACCAGGTTGCACAACAAGATCTTCCTTGTGACCAAATTCTTCACGAACTACAGAACTTCCATCATCATCAGAAAATGGGACCTCTGACTCGGAATCAGACGTGATCTTCAGCTCGGTATATCCAACATGAGACAAGGAGTCAACACCAGTATTCCCAGAACAATGGGGTGTTAAGGGTCCTGAAAATTTCTCCCGTATCCTCCTCAAGCTATCTCTACGGGTTAAACGACTACGTCCTGGCAAGCGAGGCAAAGGAGGTTTGACAATAGCTTTACTAGCCCCAAACCCAACTGGAGTTAACTGAAGCAATCCTTGAGCATTTGATCTGGTCCTCCATGGCTTATCGCAACAAGAACAGTTCCTTTTGCTTAAAGAACCAGCTGTAAAGTTCTTTTTCAGAAATGGACTCTCAAAACCACATCGCTCAAAATCCAGTCCCAATTTACCTACCAACAACCTGTATGATTCTGGGTTTGATTTGTTCTGCATGACAAATGACACGAGGCATTCTTCACACATCTCAACGACATTAGCAAGCTTACCATGGAGGTGACAAGATATCAAAGTGGATATCTCTGTTTTGTGGTTGCTGCAGAATAGATTCCGATAGAATCCAGGATTTTTGTTTCCAAAAACATGATCAAGCCTTGAACATAGTAGACAAGGTGTTTGTAATTCGCAATAAGATGCAAAAGTGGTCAGTAAATATGAAAAGGCCGCATCAACAAACAATAAAAATATCAACAACCATTCACAAGCAGCTGAAGACAGAAGGCTCATAAATTTCCGAGGATTCCTCTGTCTATTGACAGATGAAATCCTACTAACAGCCATTCCCAGCCAATGAAGCCCCAAGAATCACATGAAGCCCCCAAGTGGGAAAATAAACCAAGTGCTTCACTGGCTCAAAGACGTGCAAAATTCATAATCCTCCCAAACGAAACCAGCAAATTCCATGTTTCCGATTCATAGCTGTAGGCATTAACAAACTATTAAAAGATACACCAAGTAATAGAAAAACATGAATAGATTAAAATCCAAGAATCACAAACAAAATACAAGCCTAAACGTATGGGTTGGTTATTCCAACAAAAATGATAAGAAAAACAATTACTCATATCTCAAAAAGGATCAGAAGCAACAGCATTCCAACCACTTGTGCTACATTCAGCATTCAATGACAAACCCACAAATTTCATTTCAAAATTATCAATGATCAAAAGACAAACCCTACATCTATTCATTAAAAAGTGCCCATTTGATCAGTGGAACGACTACAATCCCAATTACACAGGAGAATCGAATTTGCTGGGAACCACATACAATGTACATCGAAAGTATGATTCGATTCGCATACCCAAAAAGAATAAGAATTAGATTTGCGTCAGAAAAACTCAACCTTAAACGAATTTTACATTGATGCATTTTATGTATATGTACATAGCCACAGAGAGAGAGAGAGAGAGTACCTGGGCGTGCAGGTTGATGATGGAGGGAGGAGGGGTGGAGCAAATGGAGATCAAAAGATCATCATCAGTCATCATTAGGAGGGGGAGGTACATGAATTAAAAACGAACCAAGCGCCGAAAATTACAAAGTGGTCCTTATGGTCTACAAAAAATCACTGGCCGTTGAAACCAACCGAATTTCAGAATCCTCGTTGCCTAAATAAAGTAAAACAAATACTAGGTTTTGTAGCTGACCCATGAACCTTTGCGATGCCGCTGAGATAAAAAAGCAGTAAACAAAGCACCCAAAAAAGAAGAAAATGAAAAAGAAAAAAGAAAAGGGTGTCACTGACAAATTACAGTCCTACGGGGGTTGTTTTTGACATTTCCTGTTGGGAAGATTTATACACGCTGTTCTCTAGTATTCAATAATCATTAAGCTGGTTTCTACTCATTAATAAATTTACTTTATAATCACAATTATCCGATTATTGTGATTATTAAATACATATTTTAAGTACGCAGTCTTTGTAGTATTATTCAGTAATTATTCTGATCAAATTTTAGTATTAAATTTGAAATCTAAATAAAATGACAGCATATTATTTGAGATTTTTATTAGGGCTCAAATGACATGACAGCAAATAAAGAAGTTCAAGTCAGCTGCTATGTCATTTGAGCTCTAAATTTAATTCCAAAATTTGGTCAAGATAACATTACTTTTATTCTTAAAATTTTGAACAATCTCTTCTTTTCATAATTGGCCATCATCTTAATTACTAATTTGGGCCTAATTTCCTATAACTATTATGTCCAATTTAGTACAATGGAAAAGTGAGAGGATCAAAAGTTGGAGGTATAAAAAAAACATCATATTTGGCAAGGAAGGAAAGTAAGAAAGATGAAAAAGTAAATGGATGAACCTTCCTTCTAACTCACCAAAATCAATCCTTCTAAAATCGGAAGGAAAGTGGATAGAAAGTTAATTATTTGTGTTGAGATGTATCTTATTTGTCTATATATCTTATGTATACATTAATTTCACATAAAAATACAATGGTAAAATATATATATATATATATATATATATATATATATATATATATATATATATTTAAAAAAAATTAATTAAAAAAAAAAATTCATCTTAACTAAGGGTGGAAATTTTAGACTCAACACGATAACACGACTCGAACTCGATACGAAAATAAACAGATCAACTTGTAACTCGATACGACACAATTAGTTAAATGAGTTAGGTTAGATTTGACTAATATTCGATACAAACTCGTAATGACTTAACACGAATCTAATACGAGAAGACTTGACACGATTGTTACCTCTAATCTTAGCCAACACAAAAAAAAAATATAGTTATTTTTATTTTTCATCTATCTAACCAAATACAAAAGAAATAAAATGTATAATTCCTACTTTCCATCCTTCCTACTTTCTACACTCCTTACCAAACGGAGCATTAAATTGATAGCAAACTTTATTTAACATTAAAATTTACAATTAATTTAATAATTGTATTAAAATCACATCATCATATTTTTAAATTAAGTTCCTACAACATTGATTAAAAATAAAAAAATATATAATTTTTCAATATTTTTATGAAGAACCATGCTATGGAAACTTAATAATTTTTTCCAAATTTAGTTTTAATTAATTCTTTTTATTAATTTTTACCATTAGATCAAATAAAAACAAATGATCTAACAATATAAATTGATTATGTTTCTATTTAATTTAATGGTAAAAATAGACAGCAAGACTTAATTGATATGAAATTTATAATTGAAGAACTAAATTAAAATAATTAAAAATTTTATAAATTAAAATTGAAAACAAAGTTAAACAACCATTTATGATTTTTACCCAAACATATTTATCGCGGGTGGGTGACATCTGCCCCACCATTTACATCCTTACTGGCCCACGCATACAACGCGGCCAGCCATTGTTAAACAATCCAAGATTTCACTCTTCTCCTTCTCAGGGCTCGTTTTGAAGTGTTTTTTCGAAAGCTCCACTGTAATAGGTCTATTGTTTTATTTTACTTATTTTTTTCCCCAAAGATATCGATTTTTGTCGTTCTTTGTGCGTAATTGGTGTTGAAGTGGAAGTGCAAGGGTTTTTTTCGGCGCAGAGTGAGCAAGTTGTCAATGGCCAAAGCCTAAAGATTAAAATGGGCATAAGATCGATGAATTCATGAAGGGTTTCTTGAGATCTTTCACTGTAAATCAGTTGGTATTCAGTTTTTTTTTTTTTGTCACTGTGTTCTGTCTGCTGTTATTTTATGTTGTTTATGTTTTCTGCTAAGAAATTGATTATGTCATTCTTTCCGCCTTTGTGTGTTGAAGGTGGGAGGTGTGAGGGGTTTTTCGGCGCAGAGTGGGAAAGGCTTGAATGGCCAAAGCCTAAAGATAAAAGTTGCATAAGATTGATCGAAATTCATGAAGGGTTTCTTGAGAACTTTCAATGTAAGTCACTTGGTATTCTGTTTTTCCACTTAGTTTATTTATTTTTCCTGGGAAGTAATTGATTATGCCATTCTTTCTGCATGTGGGTATTGAAGGTGGGAGGTGTGAGGGGTTTTTCGGCGCAAAGTGGGAAAGTTGTCAATGGCCAAAGCTTAAAGATACCAGGGGTTACAGATATCTTTGCGGTTGCTTCTGGTAAAGGTGGTGTCGGCAAATCCACTACTGCTGGTAAATTTTCCGCTCTTTATCCGTCTATGTTTCATGTTTTCGCAAGAAATCGTATTTTTCCTCCCCAGAGTTTGGTTATAATTATATCACAGCCGTTGCTTCTGGTAAAGGTGGTGTGGGAATGGCCACCACTGAACTTCTGTATGCGTGATGGGTGTGGTCTTTTCATTAGTATTCATCGAGGCACCAGCACCTTCTAATATTTTTACCCTCTTTCTCTCAGTAATGTTCTATAACTTATCCACTATACTTGTGAGGTTTTTCAGTTAATTTGGCCGTTTCACTTGCCAATAAGTGTCGACTAAAGGTTGGGTTGCTTGATGCTGACGTCTACGGTCCCTCAATTCCTACAATGATGAAACTACATGGAAAGCCCGAAGTGGGTGTAGGTGATGCTTTGATTGTATTAAATTTGTACTGATATGCTCTGGAGTGTGATTATTTCATGTTAAGAATTACTCTTGATGCACATTGTGAATTTTTGAGTCTCGTTCTTTTCAAACTGATTTAAGAAATTAAATTATGCTCAGTGAAGTTGTTCTTGGTGCAAATTTTGACATGCAGGTGAGGTTAGGAATGTAATCCTTGTGTTTTACCTCAATGATTAGTTTATTGTTAAGCTATTTTCTCCACATTTGTTTGTTGTTGACTAACCTCTAATTTACAAAAGTTCTTTTACAGAGTACATCTTTTAGCAACCAATGTATATATGTAATTGTGAATCTACTTCAGTCCATACACTTTGCAGTTATAATAAATTGCATTTATTTTTCCCTGAAGTTTTGGTGGATTGGAGATACAGTGGGAAAGGAAAGGGGAAATGCAGAGATGTTTTAAATAGAAGTCACTCCCAACCACTTCTAAGTACTTTTCATTATTCTCTGTAATTTTATTAAATCCAAACTAGGCTAGAAATAAAGGAAGAAGTAAATTTGAGAAGTCTTATAAATTTGGAATGACAAGACAATGGTTGTATGTACTAGTTATCCAAGAATATAATGGTCATTTTGCCACCAAGGTAGTTAGAATCTCAACGGGAATCCCCTAGTCTAGTGTGAGATAAGAATGACAAGATGTTTAGTATAGCAAGTTTTATAGATTCAAGAGTTCTCAGTGCAATCAGAGATTTTGATACACATATGCGTAGATTGTTTCCAGTGAAAGTATCAATTGGTTGTGGATGCTAGTCCAAGGTGCAAAAAGCTCAAAGTTTTCAGGAATAAGGGTTGTAGAGCCACAAATTGACAGTAATGATGCTGATTGAGAGCTGAGATGTCAGCTATTAGGCCTATGTGGTAAATGTTTGGTCAAACAAATAAAGGAGTGTAAAGAACTACCATGTATATTTCGCACTTGCTTGCTTGGCTCATAAACAAGGGTGAACTATAAATGCTTTGACAGTTTGTGTCCAGTGTTTTTCTTGTTCTAAAGGGCATCTCCTTCATGATTTGGTTTATAAATCCTTGGAGAACTGTGCCATGCTAACCTTTTTGAGTAAATGATTAGGTAGATGGTTAATTTTCTTGTGCTGCTATGTATGGTTTTCCGAGCAGGTTTATGATATTGTGAATCATCACTGCCAATTATGATTGAGGAACTTTAATTATTTGGAATTTTAAGTAATGTAACCATGAAAAATCTTTTGTCCCTTTGTCGTCGTTTATTTTCGTTGCTCTAAATCATGCTCACAAAACGAACATTCAAGGCTGCTGTTGCCTAGGAGATTCCAACATGTCTGAGCCAAAATGGAGACTAGAGATATACCCAGACTCAGACATGGTCTATCATTGTTTTACCATTGTATAGATACTTTTTCCTGAAATATAAGGTGACCACTTCATATATTCCTTCACAGTTGTTGTCTAAGTTAGGTTACCATTCTTTACTAATTGGACCCCTGCCCCCTGTTCTCATTCACTTACGTTTTTTTTTTTTTACTTCGAACAAATCTTTGCATTTTTGCTTCATTTGAATTACATATGGTTGGCCTAAAGTAAGGTGTCTCTAAGTTGAATTTAATTTGGTAACCTTAGGGTACACTGTGTACTTCCTCTTGACTCTCGACTCTTAGGCAATATAATTGAGATATTTTTGTTCTTCATCTACCTCTATCTATGTATATAAAATATACACCTTTCTGTGTTTATGAGATAAATGATCATGATCTCTCTTCAGCCAAGAAAATGATTCCAATTGAAAACCATGGAGTCAAGTGCATGTCAATGGGGTCTCTGGTGGAGAAAGATGCCCCAATCGTGTGGAGAGGTCCCATGGTATGTGCTAACCTTATTCTGCTTATTGGGTTTTGTCTTTGTTCTTTTACATACTTTCTACTGCATTTCTTTCGTTCTCCATATGTAGCTGGAAGGATTTGTGCTTGCAAAGTGGCGAGTCACTACTACAAGTTTATTTTTGTTGAGCTTGATGCTCACCCAAACAGAGCAATCATTACTCACTGCAGAAGGATTATGGAGATGAACCACATACCCATTGTTCATACTCTCAAAGAAGGCAATCAATGTGCTGATGTTTTGGCTAACCTTAAGAGTCCAACAGCCGGATCATTTTGTTGAGCTTGATGCTCCCCCTCCCCAGCTGGCAAATTTTTTGTTAGCAGATATGGCTAGTGTAGCTTTTACTAGGAACTCTATCTAGTTTCTTGTTTTAACTTTCTGATGTACCAAAAAAAAAAATGTATATTTTTGCTTGCTGGATTAGTGTGGTTATACTGATGACTAATGCTATACTGTTTAAAAACATGCTACTCGTGATTTTGTAGCGTTAGTCTGAAATTGATTCAGTCTTTTCTTCGCAGGTCATGAAAGCTCTGGAACAGATGACAAGGGGAGTTGATTGGGGTAACCTTGATATTCTTGTGGTGGATATGCCTCCTGGGACTGGTGATGCTCAGATATCTATTTCCCAGAGGCTCCAATTATCAGGTAACTAGAAGATATCATCAGCATTTTAGAGATGTTTGAGGCTTTCAAAGATCCCACTTGATGATGTTCAAGGATATTGCAAGGAAGCATCTGCTTCTTGGGGCTTGCACATCGGCTCATATTCTAACTTCTAAGTATGACCTGACAATGAGTTTACGTTACATGTGAAAAGGATATTAGTATATTTTGCACTAACTTTAATGTTTGTTTGTTCAAATATAAACGCGAGTATGTTTTTCACGGATAATTGTGTTCAAGGTCTGGAAGGAAAAAGGAATTGACCCCCCAACAATTAGTCATCATCACTAAGTTTGTTTTTGATTTCTCCTCTCTTTCACAAGCTTCTTTACCAAAATGATTCCCATTAGCTGTGCCTCAGTCTCAGGAATTTATCTCCATAATCCTTTTTTATTTAGTCTGGCTGGCCGAAGTCGAGTAGCTCACTCATTTTCAATCTATGTAGCTTCGTAATTATGATTTGATTATCAATGGCTAAAAACTTGAATCTCAGGTCTACAAGAGGTCACTAGGTTCATCCCCAAATAGGAACTTATTTTTCGTCTGGCAATGGGGATATGGACTGGCTTGATGATAGTTTTGGGGAACTTATAGTCTTGAGCATACATTTCATTTTGAGTATCGCATCTGGGGGTGATTATATGTGTAATCAGCTAGACACGGTACAATACTTGGGTTTGCCATGGAAAGAGGGTAGACTTGTTTGGTATGGTATTTTGGGTCGCGATTCGTTTTCAAACCCTCTTTCGTATTGATTTCACTATTGTACTGAATTATATAAGAATTGTATGGATAAAGAAATTACATAAAATTGTACGTCCGTACTCAAATAGTTGATGAATATCTGTTTTACATCTGTGATCGGTGTCCTATGAGCTACAATTATATGTGATTAAACATCTATACCCATAATAAGTATCTGTTTTTATATTTGTGATATAAGTTTCAAGGCGAATTGATTTGGGATTAGGGTTACAATTTGGTCGGTAATTTAGGTGATATGGATCGCGATCTCACCCTGTTTTGCAGATCATGGGTCATTTGAGGTTAATTGTTTTCTGGTAATTGAGAGGTAGAATTATGATGAACTTAAGAGCTGAGCTAATTTGTTGGGGAATAGCTTCAAATTTTCATGGAAGACTGTGTGATGAAGTTTTGAATAGTGCTACCTACGATTATGCATATGCAGGCAGAAGGTAGGGAGGCTTAGAGGTGTTGGGATTTAAAAGGTTGAAGAAAGTTGTGGGCTTTGCAGATTGAAATGCGTTGGAATTCATTTGCTTAATTGGCTTTGATAAACTTTGGACAGTAATTGATTAAAGGCTTTAGACTGTGCAAGTTTCTCTTTTTGACCTTCTTCTCTCTTCTTAGATTAATATTTGCATTCTGAATATCATTTTGTTATGAGAGAATGATGATATGCCTTACAAAATGAAAAAGTGAAGACAATAACAATGGTTTCACTGCTAGTATTGTGCATCAACTGCCCAGAATCTGTTACTTTGTTTGATGATTTTTTTATTGGAAAGTATTATTTTTTTTGCTATTTATTGTAAATTACAATCGGGTGACAGGTGCATTGATCGTTTCAACTCCTCAAGATGTCGCGTTAATGGATGCTCGAAGGGGTATCAAAATGTTTTCTAAAGTTGAAGTTCCGGTATCATTATTCCTGAGCTTATTTATGTCTATATGTGATTATATATCAATTAATGTGCGGTAAATGACATATAATCTGCTTGTCATGATTTTCTGAGAAGTTTTGGTTGTACCACAGATTTTGGGGGTCATAGAGAACATGAGCTACTTTAGATGTCCCCACTGCAGTGAGCCTTCGTTTATTTTTGGAAAAGGAGGAGCTCGTAGAACAGCTGAGGAAATGGGCATGGCATTTATTGGTGAGGTATGCTTTCCATTTTAATCTATTAAGATGCTAGTCATGGTAATGGTGTTGGCTGTGTTTGAGCTTTTTGAGGAACTGCTGGAGAAATAGGTATTTCTCTTGTCAAGATTGAGGAGTATGATTGCTGATCACAGACCTAATGGGATTCCCATGTTTTGACCTGGAATATATGATCACTTCTCTTGTCCTCCTGAGATGCCACCTTCGTCGGGGCCGGAGGGGGGTGCGTGCATGCAAGTAGGGATGCAACTCAGGTGAGTTGGGTCAAGGTCAATGTGGGCTTCATCCGAGGCAAGGGAGCTTATGCCTGGAGACTAACCCAGCCTGACTCATAACTCAATATTCTCAAATCTTTAGCTGACTTATTGTGGTGAGCTTCAACTAGATCATTATTGGATGACACAATTTAAACACCGGAATGAAAAACCTGTCCAATTTGTCTTCCACATTTTGCAAGTGGCTACTGGAAAGTGGCAGTGTTTCATGAGCGGGTCCTCCATCAAAACCTGCCCAAGTTTTTGTTATTCTTGTGATTTTTATATTTGTATACATGTCTGCCAATATAATTTTCTTACCCATTTAGGTTGGGAAAAGATAGATGTTACATTGATCTGATCTATCACTCCATGTTTTACTTTTTTAGATACCACTGGAGGGGGAGATCCGAAGTGGTTCTGATGAAGGTGTCCCTATAGTGGTATCAAAGCCTGATTGTGCTGTCTCAATAGCATACACTGATGTCGCTCAAAAAGTTGTGCGCAGACTTGAAGAATTGGCCAAAGAGCAACAACTCCGACCACAGATAACTCTGTGAATGCTGCAATTGGCTTTAGATATAGCTCCAGTTCCATGATTTGTGGTTGTGGCGGAGTACTCAGTTTTGCTTTGCAGTTTGTCTGTGCTTCCATTGTTTCGCAGAGAAAGACAGGTGCGGATTTCGTGCGGCATGGATATCCGGGTTTTAGTTGAGGATTTGTGAAGGATGTACAATTTTGGTGCCGGCGTTATGTTTTGACCTGGGCTGAAACCCGGTGATCTGACCAAACAAGGGGCAGGGAGGTTGTGGACTCTGGCCATCTTTTAAACCTAAAAGGTTGAATCCCACTCTCAGTATAACATGGTGGTGATGAACATAACTCCTGTTGTTTTATAGCTCGTATGATTCGACACAGATTTCACTAGCGCTGACCTTTTGTATTATGTTCCTGTGAGGGAAACAAAGAGGGTAAAAACTAAACAAACAGAAGCAAATTATACTTAATATATTTACACTAGGATTGAGGAAAGGGTTTTAATTGAAAAGAAAAATATGATAATGGTGGGAGTGTGGTGGTGGTGGTGTTGTTCTGTAAATTTTAGAAAGGTTATTTTTAAATACACGAAATAGTCTTTAAATATTTTTTTTTAAAATTATTTCTGAAAATAGAAGAATAATTTTTAATATGCAAACTAAACGGTAGCTGAATTTTATTTTATTTTATTGGGTTGTTTTTGAGAACAACACGAGGATCTTATTCTTACTTAAACCTATCTACCCGAAAAGGATGGGTGCTCCATCCCCCAATAATCTATCTCTTGGGAAATTGAGATATAAACTTTTTTGTATGATATAAACTATAAATTTTTATAATACATTACTACACACGTCTTAGATACAATACCTAGTCTAGATCAGATGTTGACCTTATTACTACTTTACCACTTGGATTTTGGTGGTGAAATTGGAAGTTGGTGTCTTGCCCATTGTGTTATAATAATCAATGTAATAAAATTAAAAAAAAAAAACCTAAATTGATCCTTAATCTAATCTAAGAATAGTAGTTGATGTAATAGGTTGGAATCAGAATGAACTTGTGATGTTTTATAGACTAATTAGGAATAATGTGTGTTTGAAGGCACTAAAAAAATTTGAACATTGAATAATCAAACACAAAATTGAAGGTTTAAACTGTACATAATTCTTAAACATGAAATAATTAATATAAACAAACATGCATTAAGATTATGATGAGAATCACAACTAGCTCCTGGTGGGGAATGACTGAAAGTTGCCCTGTGTGTGTGTGGTTGGGTGGGTGGGTGTCAACTTGAACCTTCAATTGATTTCCCTTCATCCATTTTTCTCTTTTCATGCTTTCCAATCAAATATATATCTTCTTCAATTTCCCTCCCTATAATTCCATTTCTTCTCACTCATTCAGTCTGTGTCTGTCTATCTTCTTCTCCGATCTCTGAATGCATCATCTCACAATCTCTCTCCAATCCCCAATTCGAAGCAATGGATTTTCTCCATATCAAATTGTTCTCCAGAACCCTAGACTATTTCATACCATTTTCCCCGATGTTTTGCAATACAGCCGGAGAAATCATTTTTCGATCTTCAACTGTAGGGGAGTAGAATTCTCGGCTCCCAAACGCTGCCTTAATTCACTGAGCTTAGCCGATAATGGTTCTGTAGATGATGAGAGATTGAGAAGCTGCGTCGCAATGAAGAACGTCGATGTGGCGACTCTCGGAAACCTTTGTGTGGATATTGTTCTCAATGTCCCCAAGTTGCCTCCCAAGTCGTTTCAGGAACGGCTAGCTTATATGGAAGAATTGTCCAAGTCACCGCCCGATAAGGTCAGTTTCTTCTCACTTCGCTCGACCTCTGAGTTTCATAATTTTCAGACCATTAGGGCATGCTTTATTTTCCGTTTAAAGCAGTTATGTTCCTGAGTGTCTTTTGCGTTAAACAGAGTGTTATCCTGAAAGCTCTGCCATGATGGTAACAATTGGGATGGAAGGGTAATAATTTGGAAACTCCACTGCTGGCAATCACAGTATCAAAGCCCTTTGATAAGAGTTAAACTTACCAAGTTGGATCGGATTTCTTTCCAACTCCCATACCCTAATCCATTAATATGCAATGTTACTATATATTCAATATTAATCTTTCACTACCAGATACCTAAAATTAAACAACACTACTGTGACCAGCCAAATTTGATCATTGGGAAGTCTGGTGTGAAGTGATTTAATCAAGTGTTGAACCTTGTGTTCATTCTCGATGCTGCACTTTACGGTGGTTAGGATGCTGTCACTACTGTTCTTGGACAGTTTGATGGAACTCTATCAGTGATTTGGTTTGGTAGACTTTGGGAGCGCCAGCGGTTTCCGTCTGGTGGTTAGGATGCTGCCACCACTGTTCTTGGACAATGTGATGGAACTCTATCAGTGATTTTGTTTGGTAGACTTTGGGTGTGCCTGCAGTTTACCACCGTCAAGGTTCCACTGGTGGACTTCCCTCGTGAGTTCAGGCTGCCATAGTCATACCCAGGCATGGGTTCCACCCCAGTTGCCCTTGCAAACCCTTTTTTCACAAGCAAAAAAAAAAAAAGAAAAGAAAAAATTTCAAATTTATGACATTCTGGAGTGGATGTTGACAAAAGGCTGATTTTATATTCAACTAAACAAGTGTTTCGTCATCACACTACTGTTGGTCACGTTATATGCTCTCTCTCTCTCTCTCTCTCACACACACACACACGTGTCCATACATGTTTGTAGATGAATATCTGTGTTTGTTTTTCTATGTTCTTCCCTTATTCACCACAGTTTAGGACTTACATAATTTGTTATTGCTCAGCAATACTGGGAAGCTGGTGGTAACTGCAATATGGCCATAGCAGCAGCAAGACTGGGACTTCATTGTGTTGCAATTGGTCATGTTGGTGATGAAATGTATGGCCGCTTCCTCTTAGATGTTCTTCATGATGAAGGAATTGGTACGGTTGGGATGAGTGACCTGAATGACAATGTTGACAGTTCAAGTGCTGCATATGAGACACTTCTATGCTGGGTTTTGGTGGACCCTTTTCACAGACATGGTTTTTGCAGGTATAAGTAATCAATTAAAGGTTTATTCCTTCTTTAAATATATATAAATTTTATAGGGAAACAAATTTTTCGACATAAGTAATTTCTGAATGAATTGTTGTTAACAAAGGATGGTGCATCACACCTTCTGCTTATTTATCAGTCGAGCAGATTTTTGTAAAGAGCCTGCATTCAGTTGGCTGAGCAAGCTATCTATTGAAGTAAAGATGGCAATTAAGCAATCAAAGCTCCTGTTCTGCAATGGTTATGGCTTTGATGAACTCTCCCCTTGTTTGATTATTTCTGTTCTGGATTATGCTGTTGAAGTTGGGACAGCCATTCTTTTTGATCCTGGACCACGGGGAAAGACCCTAGTGACAGGAACACCCGAAGAACAGAGAGCACTTGACAAGTTCTTGAGGATGAGTGATGTTCTTCTGCTAACGTCTGAGGAGGTTTGACTTGTAACTCTTCATAGACTGTATGAGCCCATTCCTCTTTCCTTCACCATAGCCTATTTTTGAGGAGATTATATACTCAACTAAGCCTTATCCCAATTATTTGCCATGGATTATGAAAATCCATTTAGCCACCGATAATGTGCATGGCTATTTTTGCTGTCAAAGTCATCGTTAATGTATTCCTAACTACCTCAACATGCATCCTTGATAGCTTTCCTTTTGTCCTTGCATCTCCTTTTAACTTGAAACATATTGCTCCTTTTTGATAGTTATGACAAGGTTAGACATCACCTCTACCTCAGCTTTTATCAACACGGTTATTTCCTTGCTGTAATTGGCTTGTTGTCACCCTTCTGTATAAATATTTTGTTTGGTTACCTCATTTTGTGCACATGTTTACTCTTGATAGTTGCTTATTTTGTATCATATTGTTACGAGCCTTTTACTGATTTCCCTCCAATTTGACTGGTATGTTTGAACAAATTGAACAGTCTATGCACCAATCCTCCATTTATTCTGCTCAAATCACAGCATCTTTTGAAGATTGTGTCAGCTGCAAAGATGAATAAACCATCACCATATTGAATCAATTAATGCCATAACTGGTCGGGATTACAGATTTTGTTTCCATCTCATTTTTTGTAGGAAGTGTAAATTCTGAAGTTGGCCCAAACTAACTGATAGATTTATGCAATCTGTACCCTCTAGTTAGACTTGGATAGGAGAGCTTTTGATTTTGTTTTATAGTATTTTAGCATGTTCCCAGAGCTTACTGTGCTTTTGGGAAGAGTTTGGTAGTTTTGAAGGTGGTAAACTTGTAATGTTATAAGCTTCAGGTAGGTTGCTTAGTTGAAACATGATGTGGTTGTTTTAAGCTGCATGAACTTCTAATTATTTTTTACGCTGGCTAATAGGTACCTAATATATTTGATCATTGAAAGTGTGTAAGTTCACTGAATTTGTTCGGTCCACACCACCCATAACATTAATTGTTTTGAGGTATAAAGACTATACAGTTCTCTAAATGAACTAGCCGTACTCATGTCTAAGGCTTCACTGTGGATCGGCTGTCTATATTTATCATCCAGTCCTTTGAAGGAATCTGGAAAGAGTAGATTAGATTCGTTAATAAATGAAACTAACATCCGACATCATCAATTCTATCCGTATGGCAGTGTGGATGACTTTTGTTGTATCTACTGTTATTTATATGATGCATCATCCATTCTAGCATAATTTTCACTTTTCATCCTAGTAATATAGCTTATGTTGATGGCTTGTCAGGCTGAATCATTGACTGGCATAGGAAATCCAATACTGGCAGCCCAGGAGTTGCTCAGGAAAGGGGTCCGCACAAAATGGGTGATTGTTAAAATGGGTGCAAAAGGCTCAATTCTAATAACCATGTCAAATATATCTTGTGCACCTGCATTCAAGGTACCATTTATTATGTTGATATGTGCTCATGGCTCATACGAATGTTTACATGATCACCTGTTTGAAGTTATTTGATGCTAGGATCCTGATAAGGAGTAATGGTGGTACATTTGAACATGTTTTTCTTGTTTAGTGCAATTTAAATTTTTATTTGTGTTTCACTTCAGTAAAATTATTGTGTGCTGAAACAAGTTCTTGAAAACAGAGAAGGTGCATCACAAGAGACTTTATTTTCTTAGTTTGGAAAGATTTTCCTTTGAGTTGCACCTTTCCTATCCAACTGGGACGCATGCTACATTTTTATGCCTTGGTGTCTGAGTTGGCTCTTCAATTGACATTCTTGAAATCTGTAACAGGTGAATGTCATTGACACTGTTGGATGTGGAGATAGTTTTGTGGCTGCAATTGCTTTTGGTTATATACACAACATGCCCTTCGTTTATACATTGACAATTGCAAATGCAGTGGGTGCCGCAACTGCCATGGGTTGTGGCGCTGGTAGGAATGTTGCAACCATGGAGCAAGTCATAGAAATCTTGAGGGAGTCAAACCTCAATGAAGATGCCAAATTTTGGAATGAATTGCTTGATGAAAATTTGGATAGTGGGGAAATTACATTCCTCTCAAAAATGCTTATAAACGGAAGCAATAATTTGTTGAGCCGTGTTCCCTTGCAACATGTGGTTTCTGAAATGCTGCCTAAGCTTGTATCTGCACGGGTAGAGAGGGTAGTTCCATCTTGAAAATTATTCATTTCCCCGTGTGTTGCAAGCTTTGATTGCTCTGACAGATTCACAGCCCCAGAAGTGAGCTTGAAGTTAGGATAACTAATTCACTCTGTTGGTCGTCGGACAGTTGAATCAGTATACTCGGTGGAAAAAATTTAGTTTAAAAAGAAATGATGATTGGCTCGGTTGCTGCTTCATGTTTGTTTTGGGATGTTTGCTGCTATAATAGGTTTAGTTTAGGAGCAGTACTGAATTCAGCTATAGCAGATAAGTCCGGAGTTCAACAATTGGGGTTTTTGTTGGTTGTGAAAGCAGCATTTTAATCGGTTGTATGCATATCGAGTTGGTTCATGTTTCGTGTGTTCCAAGTTACTGTAATTGGAATTTTATTTCTATCAATTAAAGATCGGAAAATAATGGATGTGGCAATCGCCTGATGGAATTGTCTTCTATCTTATAACTACTCTAATTCTCATGGTATCTAAAACTGGTTATCTTTTTCACATTTCTGAAATTGTCTCGTGTTAAAAAAATAGGATTAAATTACATCCAGACCCCCAAAATTTATCACTTAATCATCTAAACCTCACATTTGAGATACTTCAGTTAGACATCCTGAAATTTATGAGCATGTAACACATAACCCTTTGCCAGTCTCCATTAAAGTAGACCTTAAAAATTCATCATGTCATTATAAAATGTAAATGTAATTTACCAAACTACCCTTCTTGAACCAAACATTTGGAACACATTCTCAGTTAAACAACTTCGATTCTGTGATCACACTTTGGGGAACTCCAAAAATCAAGGATCTTCAGACATCAAGTATCTTCAGTTGCCCCAAAGTGTTATTCACCTGAAAGAGAACAAGCTCAATGAGAAGGTCTAATGGCACAACATACACTTTGAAAAGCAACTAAGGCGGGAAACATTATATACTCAACTCAAAAGGGTAGTTTGGTCATTGTAAAGAGCTTCAGAAAATATCATTGGACATTTAGGTCTTTTGATTTGTTCCTTTGCATCTGTCGATTAATTGTCATCCACAAGAGATCTAAGTGTAATATGTCAAATGTGACAAGAGTCTACATGATTAAATGATAAATTTTAAGGGATTTGTGTGTAATTTATCCTCAAAAATAAGTTACTGAACACTAATTGAATGCACTCACGCTAACTGGATACACTCACGCTAATTGAAACCACAAGGCAAGCGCCAAAACGCTAGCACAAACAGCTACCACAGACACGCATGATAAGGGTTGTTGGGCCAACTAGGCCACCACTTTTACCAGATATGGGTCCGAACAACCCAAGAGCCTGAAACAAGCTCGACCGACCGCTAGAAGGACCAAAACTCAGCTGCATAACCAAAAAAAGAATGAATCGACACTAATAAGAGTCATCATAAATGATCAGAATACAAATTACGGCAACCACTATCAGACACAGGACATCGTAAAAAGAGGATAACCAAAATAACTAGAAAGGCAAAGCACATACAAAATGGAACAAGCAAAATGAAGAAAAGGTTCATAGCTAAACCCCTAATGCATTAAGAAACACTAATCACTAACTGTTCCCATCATAAACACTTCCATACAACATGCATTTCCTGCCAACAATCATCTGATAATTCCTAGGTAAAACAGAATGGCACATATAACATAATCCCAACCTGTCTAAAAGATTAGATGTCAGCTTCTTCAATAACCATAGTTGGCTCCATAGACAGAACCATAGTCTCCAGCAGGTGCATGGCCAGTATGACCAGTAGCATTAGATGGCGGAGATGCATAAACAGGAACATGAGAAGGATATGAATTATAGCCTTGACCAGGTGGCCCACCGGCAGGGTTTTGTGCAGCACTGGCAGCATCAGCAATAAAATTCTGCACAACACAAGGCAGGAAAAATAGAATAACGCCAAAATGAATATTTATATAAATCAAGTGCTAAACCATGTTTGACAACAACTAATGTACAGAGATGTAACATTGTATTTAAAAAACAGACCCAAGAAAATGTAACTACCAAAACATTTTAGCAAAAATAAATGTGGATTGATCATTGTGGCATGTTTTAGCAACAAAAATGAAGCTGTAGTAGTGAAAGATGATTAGTATTTTGTGACCAAATTACAGTATCGTTAACAACCTACTAAAATATCTCAATGCTAAAACAACTTATATATAATGATCACACACTTGCCCACAAGAAGCCAAACTTATTAATTCTTTCAAATGTGCCCAAAAAATTAATATGCCCAAGCAAAGCATTCCCAACATTTGGGCTAGAAACCAGAACTCAAATTGATATAAGCCAACAAGGGAAAATAAAGAGGTAAAAGAATCACAACAATTTTTCAGTCTAAATCTTACATTCCAATGCCCAAGTATTGGCTATAACTCGAGAGGACAGTAGAAGGAATCAAATAAAATGCCTACTTATCTGGGAAAAGTATGTTATCACTTGTCAGTGTAGAAATTCGCAATTGGTACTTAAAGAGTGGAGCGGGAAAAAAAAAAAAGAAGCAAGATGGATACAAATAAGCTAGCAACACAACTATCAGTATGCAAGCACAAAACTAATGAATCAAGGATCATAATCAAAACCAACAAACATAAAGCCAAAGCCAGAGTTCAAAAAAAACTGAGTAATTCATAATATGCCTGTATCAACTGTTGAGCTGTTTGAACTTGCGATGCAGATCCATTTATTTCAACAGTCATCTCCCCAGGAACACCCCTTGTTTCCTGTATTGCAATAGTTGCACCACTGGCACGACGAATATAGCTAATATTTGAGCCAGAGGTGCCAATAACAGCATCTGCATACGACAGAGGAATTTGCATGTTCTGCGAGACCTATAAAACCATGAAAAAAAGTGACATACAATATCAGTTAATGTAATGCAAACCAATGAAGCAAGGACGAAAGATGTTAATGATTATGACAAAACAGATAGGTTAATCAAAACTTCTCCATCAAGTAGATCTAGTCTTACTTATTGCAAAATGTAAACGCATTTTCAATAGAACCTGTGGTTTTGCAGAAATATTAAGTGAAGGTGTCCAATGAAAAATTGTATGAAAGCTTTGTAAAGACATTTTCAGTGCCACCTAAGCAAAACAGTAGCTTTCAAAGTTCTAACAAATACAACTTTATAAATTTGATTCCGTGGGCTCAAAACTTCCACCAACCACTTCTTTTGGGGGGTTTATAATGGGCATCCGGTACTATCTATACTAAAAAGTGAGTTATTGACAATCAAGTCACCATTTTTAGAATGGCCGATGATCTAAAATAAGAATACAGATCAAAGGGATGGTACCTTTGTGACCATTGACTGCTGCGGCTGCATACTTGTCGTATGAGCTCCCATAGATGCATCTCTGCCAAAAGCAGGTGGACCCTGACGAGGCTGCTTGTCTAAAGGAGGCATGTCTGCTGGTGCATAGTAATTGTCAAATTGACGTGGAGGCTGCATATATGGAGGATTGGGCACAAACCAGGTCCACTGCCTGCATTCATTGGAAAACCTTGAGGAGGAGGGCCCCAGGATTGGGGTGGGGGCATGTTCTGATTTGCTCGAGCATTCGGCATTTGCATCTGATCAGGGAAGAGGAAATAACATTTTGATCATAATGTGCTTTTTCATGTCTACACCATTGAGAGATCATTTCCAACCCACTAGGCTTAACAACGGGCTGCAAAACCATTTCATATGGTTCTAATGAAGGAAACATCATACCATTCATCCAAAACCTTCTATCCTACTGGAGAGAGGGACGGGTGTGGAAGTTAATCTAACCTAGTTTGGCTTAGGCTTAATTCAAACTTAGATTTCAAATCTAATCTAGCATCAGGAAAGTCAAGCTGAATGATTTTGACACGTGGCCCCCCATGCCAAACTTCATAATAACAAGTTATAGACATTAATATAATACTTACTAAAAATGATATCGACTTAGCTCACCTACCAGCGATAATTTCAGTAGTATTTTATATTGAACTGTAAAAAGGTGGGTTCTTGAGTTGCACACTCAATAAACCTATTACCACATAGCATGCCGCGCTATACAAGCAACAAAGTGACGCCAGTACCCCCAATTAACTGGCTGGAAACAAATAGATTTCAGAAGAGTGGTAAAGATCCACTTACGACATGTCAACACCTCCTCAACAGTAAGGGCTCAACAGATTCCTACTATCAAACCCATAGAAGAACAAATTGACACGAAAACAACAACTTACTTGCATTTCAAATATTCCAATAACACTACGGTCAACCAAAAATTTCCTGAGATGGGTAGCAATCAATTCAACTGCTTTGTGCACTCCTGTAGACACTCCTTGTATCTCAACAACACTATCATCTGGTATGGCAAAAACTGGCAGGTTTTCTGCAGAGAATTGTGTCCACAACATTAATTCAGTAATGAATATATCATTCCCCATGGTGAGAGATGCAAATCCAACGTATTATAGAGTACCAATCATGAGAAACCCTAACGGCTAAAATGACACTTGCCTGATTCACAAAAATAACTTGCGGCATTTCACATGCATGCTGGCAAAGCCGAGAACATATATTTGTAAATTGTTAGACAAGTAAAAGCGGTAGCAAGAAATTTTAAGGCATGGAGACTTCTACAGGGAACTTCTCTCATGCCGCATACCAATCCACTTAAAATGCATTTTTAGGACTACCTAAACATATTCATGATCAGAAAATCACCTTTTCTAATTCAAAGAAATATCCAACACTTCTCAGATACTTCAAAACATGTTTTAACATGAATTCTAACATAGAGTATAACATAGTTAGGAAAAACATTACAAGAGTCTTACAATGTTTGGACTATTTCTTAGAAAAAGAAAATTAAAATACAGCAGAGGTATCTAGTTGAAATTGGTCCCAAATGATGTCTATGCATGCATCATATTCTCAAGTTTCTTATGCAAATTTTACTTGAAAATTGAAAAAATTTGTAGAGTTTCATGACAACAATAATTTATAAGGTACATACTGTCATGTCATTGTCATCTCGTACCCATATCCTAGAAATAAAGTACGGAATATATGATATAAAAGCAAAGTGAGGTTCTTTAGAATATAAGGACAGGAATGGTGGAAATTATCTTTAATAAAAATTTTCAAAGATCAAATAAATCATATGAAACAAGTTTTATTTTGTCATCCAAAAGCAACGCAGATAATATTAAATAGGACAGAATGGCATATAATGTAAAGACACCTTCTCCCAGCACTCGAATTGTACAATGAGAAGTATCTTGAATAGACTTAATAGTGGCACCCTGTTTCCCAATCAAGCTTCCAGCTTGCGTGGCTGCCACAAGTAGCCTTGTGCAAACAATTCCACCAGCTGCGGCATGATTTGGATCAGTTTCAGCATCAATGATACGTTTATGAACCCTTAACAAACCATCCATAGCAGGAGGAATAGTGACATCCGGCTCCTCCTTTGCAGAGACCATAACCTAATAAAAGAGCAAACCAACAATTAAATACAGCAGAATTATTAGAAGGTTTTATATTTAGATGCAACCTTAGCCTGAATCATTGAGCCAAGAAAGAAAAATTATTATGAAGAAAATATTCTCCTAAGGATGGGTAAAAACAGAAACTCAGCATTTACACAACCTTAATAACTTTCTTGATCAAGCAAAAAGTATCGCATTAACATTTCTTAATATCACATTTTCCACAAAATTCAAATAAATCAAACATAAGCAGCTCATTGGGTCAACATTCTATTTCAAGGCAATATACTTGCACGCGCACACAAATAATCAGCCGAAGTAATACAAATTAATCTCAGACTCACACAAGTTACTGCCTCCAAGTCAGTGTAGAAACAATATTCTCCCTGCCAACAAGACATGCCCATGCAAGAGTGCAAAAACACCTGAACATGGGTGTACTCATCTGCCCACCCACCATACAGGAAAGCATTTGTGCATTTCTTTAGGTGTTTTTTTTTTAGAGGGAGGGTGGAGAGCGATGACATCATATAGGTCACTTGCCACCAAAACATATAGTACCAACAAACTGTGCTCTTCATGGAAACTACGCCTCTCCCAAAGGAGTTGATATAATGCAATCGTCAAATCAATTACTCATCTGTTAAATTATCTTCCATAGTCTACCTTTAGAATAGATTACATTAAAGATCATTAAATATGATCTAGATTGAACCTCTCAGCATTATAGGTCCTTGAATAAGCTTTTCAAACTGTATACAGTTCAAATACATAAATAATGGTGGAACATGCCAGCACACTCCATACGTAAAGCTGCATATACTACTTAGGAGATTGAAAATACATCATGCATAAATGCTGCACACGCTAAATCAGTTTGCTAATCCATTCCTATTGAATTAGAAGCAAAATTCAGCCAACTTTTAAAATATCAAGGAATCCTTCACCAGTTTAAAGTATTATAACATAATGGGAAACAACAACACTAGTCATTTCCTATCTTATATTTCCTTCAAAATGAACCCATACTATCACCTAACATACTCATAACATCTTAAGGCAAAGGTCTAGGGGGTCAAAGCTAACAAAGAACTCCAAAAAACAATAGTTTATACCAAAGACATTGGGGCTATTGCTTAGTGGAGAAAAGCATGGATTGACTACCATGATCATGGTTATTACGTAGTGTATGATACCGTTCCCTGAATAAAAAACAATATGTATCGCTCAAGTGCATTAGATTTACACCTATCGTGCAATACACACAATAGTGAGTCAAATCATTTGAGTCGTCTGATATGGGGCAAATCGTTTTTTTTTGTTGGGAAGGGGGGGGTGGGGGGAGAAGAGATTTTAATCTGGAAACAACACTGGTTCACATGGAGCTAATTTTTTTTACACACTAGGCAGTGAAACAATGTTGTTTCACTATCTATGGTTTTAAAATTAGAAGTCTTCTTTCATTGTTCTTCCATCGCAAGAGCAAATAGTTTGATTGTCAAGAGTTTTCGCCTCTGGCTCCTTTGGATGAGCGAATTAGGAGTCCCTAAATTTTGATATTAATGAAGTATGTTGGAATTTTTTGTTTTGGACCATGTAGCCTCTTTAAATTGTTATGAGCAAAATTTTGTGGTGAAATGAAGGGTTATTATTAAATTTTTTCATAGGTATGTGTATTTTTTTAAATTTTATAAGATTGCAAGTATCTCATGATACACAATAAATTACAATTCACAAGACGCTGTTTTAGAAAAACAATATAACTTCCAATGCACGTTTTGACAACCTTGATTATGATTCCAAGTTTCTAAGTGGCCACTTCTCTCAACTAACATCAAAGTGAATTTGAGTTTGATCCACAACTCCCATTTCCCTTCTTGGTAACACCAGACCATGGTTAATAACAAAACCAAACTAAGCCATATTGACACACTTCATTTGACTCTCTCCTAAGTGTTATGTCAAACAATCTTGCTTAAATGGTTTTTCAAAATGAATTCCCTTATAGGTAATAATGCAGCAGCTTGCATTCTAAGAATGTAAATATATTATCTATTAGCAAACAAATTCTTTGCTCAGCGTAACTTAAATGCAAAATGACAAGTTAAGTAAAACCACCCCTGTGCCTACTCATCCCTGTGCATAATAAAAGGAAAAATTCTCAGAGACAGTAGTTACACACAGTTGAAAAGAAATAACCAGAAAACATGAAGCATTACAAAAACCACTATTGATCAGAAAAATTTTGGTTTCTCATCAAAACAAAAACAACAAATAAAAACCACCATTAGAGAAAAATAATGTCAATTAGTTTAATTGCATAAATTAGATGCTTGCAACTACAGACGAGCTAGGAAGCACGGATACAAACACGGGTGTTGTATCTGATACGATATGGACACGAAAATACGACAAAGTTCAAAAATATAGGATATGGGTACGACAAGAATACGACTATTAAAATAATATAATATATTTTTTAAATAATAATAGAGTTATAATATATTAAAAATAAAGCATATATTATAACAATATTAATAATAAGACCTAACAAATATTATTTTCTTGATTAAAATTGAAATAGATCAAATTAAATATCTACCATTTTCATCAATTATCATGACATCTATTGACAACATTCATAGTATATAAGTTACATAACAAAAAATATATTAAAAAAAAATATAAATTGCATTGCTTTTAATAGTTAAAAGTTATTTTTTTAATAAAAAAATTTATGACCGTGTCTCAAATGTATCTTGGTCGTGTCTGGACAGTGTTCTAGACGTATTTTGGCTGTGTCCTAAACGTTTCATGGCCGTGTCCGACTAAGTTCACTATTCAGGACACTTATAACTGTGTCGGACACATGTCCGGCCGTATCCTCGCTGTGTAACACAGACATGTGTCCGACACTACCACGGCACCCTTGTGAAAGTATCCGAGCTTCCTAGCAGGCGAGTCTTACATCTTTTAGCTTATCTACCATTGTGTGCTATAAATAATACACTACTATTACTTGGGAAATCTAATTAGACCATCTTCCTAGATCCACACTGCTCAATCCTGTATAACTAGAACTGTCTGCATGTTTAGGATCTTAATATTTAATAAAAGACATAACTGTAAACATTTAATACATGCTATACTTTAGTTAATTGTTAGGTACTGTGTCGATAAATTCCCACATGAAAAAAGAGCACTATAATTTCCAAATGACAGTTTTGAATCTTGACAATTTATGTTAAACATACAAGAGATGGAAATCAAAGGTACCCTACGTTTCTAAATTTTTTTAGAGAAGTTGAATAAATCCGTATTGCAGGAACTTTAATTGACACTTTGTGGTTAGACAATGTGGAACAAATCTAATATGCTGTTTGGGGTACTGCATCTTATTTGTTCCTTTTGGTGAGATTATTCTGGTAAAAAGTTTTAGAACTGCGTGGCAAGACACCAATCAACCAGGTTCTGAAGTTACCAGATATATTGCAACGCTTCTTGGTACTGATGCCCGCAATAGGTACATCTGACAGTTAAGTCAGAACTTTTTAGCACTTGTAATGCTCAATGCTGATCACTGCAATCTGGACCTTTGGTTCTTCTAATTTGAGGCCACTTTGGTGGTTGGAGTTTGCCTCAAATATGCGAGAACCTGCACACATTCATTTTGGTTATTGTGATAAATACACTTCTATTTACATCATTTGGGTTATTGTGATTAATATCGTTCATTTTATAGTTTAAGAGATTATGACGAATATACTTTCTTGATATTTAAGCTGTTAGTTGCACTAGAAATTTCCCGTTTCCTACTTTGTCCTTTATCCCTAGTTCATCTTTTACCACTTATTTTAGCCTGGGGTGCATATATCTCATTAAATTATAATTATAACAATTTTTCATGATGCCTCTTAACTATTCAGTTGTTCACATATTTATAATTTTCTTCCATTTGACTATTGATTGATGTCTTATCCCTCCTAGAACAATCATGACATGAAACTTCTTGTATCTAGTTAACACAAATTCGAAACTTGATACACACAATTAAATTAACTAAAAGTTCAAACCCATTAAAATGAAACAGATTAGCTAAAAACAGTCAGAATGTACTTGATAGTATGGTATTGCAAAATGATATCCTTGGCTTGTGCATGCAATTGCATACCGAGAGAGACAGAGGGAAGGGTGAGAGCAAAGAATGTAAGAGATGGAAACTGAAAAGAAAACAATAACTTTAGGACAATGGGAAAGGGAAGTTGGTAAAATAAAAGAGCATGCATCAAAACATCAAATAGTGGTTAACATGATTTGGGTGATTCATAATCCGCAACATAACCATTAAGCAAACCTAATAACAAGGTGCTCACAACAAAATACTTAACTCATAATGCATAAACCAATGAAAATTATAGGACACTCACAGTTCTTTCGGTAGTCCCAGGAGGACCATCAAGAATCTTAATACGAGCTTTTGTTTCCTCACACATCTTCTTAATGTACTCTCCCTTGCGACCAATGATACCACCAACCTTTTGCACAGGAACCAACATTCTGAAAACATTCTCTCCAGGCCATCCAGGCCATTTGTTTTCTCCACCACCTCCTAAATCAGTTTCAGTAACTTGTGTTTCCTGGGGGAGCGAGTTCTCTGGCATATCTCCCATATCACCAATATCACCCATATTCTGTTCATCAAGGTTTTCCTCAGCCATTTACTGGCCAAATGAAATACAAGAAGCAAATTAATACAAAAATTCAAGAAGTAATGAAATAAACAAGGTAAAACGTCTCCACAGACATTTTCATTAGGAATAAGATTATAAGTTAAACACTAATCAAAATTAGGATAAAAGCAATATGAAGCGTGAGATGAGAAGCATTAACTTAACTATTATACATCTCTACATCAATGAATATAGAAAGTTATAGAGTTTGCAGTATGAAATGCTTGTTAAAAACAGGTAAAATATTATATAAACAACTAGTATTTGAATATTACATCTCCTTCGCACCAAAAGAGGAAAAAAAAAAACCAGGCCCCATAGAACAAAGAAAGAAATAAGTAAAAATGCTCTGTCAATGATCAAATATATTAACATACATTAAGGACATATCAGCGGCACTGAGGTGACAAACGCAGGAAAACTAGAGGACTATGAATGACAACTTCCTCCAGTTTTTATGTTCGCCAGCTCTCTCCCGAGTATATCAACACACACACACACAATAAAAGATGTTAACC